TTTTTTTTTTCAGTGATGAAAGCAGCTCTCAGTGGACAGGGAAGCTGGAAAGGGAACAGAAAGGGAAGATCCCTCTCCTCTGAATCAAGTCACCTCTCTTCTATGTCCAGGTGCTTCTTCCCGACATCTAGCTGCTTCTTCCCTCTCCTGGCTGAGTTCTGGGGTCTTTATAGGCACAGGATGGGGACAGGGCAGGCCATAGGTAGTTTTGGAAAAGGCAATATTCTATTGGTAAAAAGACATTTTTCAGAAAGAACCAATCGGGAGAGAATGGAAGTTTTTACTTTGGGCTGCGGGTTTCAGGCTTTTCGGCTTGAAGGTGGGATTTTGCCAGGGACCCGCCCCTGTATGCCTACAGTTTCTCTGCCTCCTGTTGCTATTAATTTTAAGCTACTAATGTGACACCACTGAACAGAATCAGGAAGAGACATGCGGAACACATATGGCATTTCCACCAACAGATATAATAGATGTAAAAAACCTCAAAAGAGTAGATAATAGTAAAATAATTATGAAGTGATGAGTTTTTACTATTTACTTTCTTTGTTTTTAATATAATTAATTTAATTATACATGTATGTAATTTAATTTTTAATTGATGGCTTTAACAACCAACTCAAAAAATTCTTGAAATGTAACAAACAGCTCTCACAAACCAGTACAGCCTGGATCTATCCCTCTTTTCTCCACTCCCAAGACCACAGCCAAAATGTAAGGCTCTGACCACCTCACCTTGATGTTACAATTGTCTCTCACAGGTCATGCTACTGGTCTGTCCTCTACACAGCTGTCACACATGCATATCTGGTTATATCATCACCCCTGTCCACAAATGTGTGCACACACACAGAGACATACACACATGCATGCACACACATTACACACTTACAATAATTATTTGGGTCCCTATAGCTTTATGGCTGGAATTTTTAATTTTTTTAATGCACTATGACTTTTACAATATGGCTATCTGCTTGCTTTTGAGCCTTGTCTACTGCATCCCACTTCCCCTATTGACAGTCTAGAGACCCAAATATTAACATCCTGGAGACTCGATGCTTCTGCAACTTCACCCATCTGCTGCCTGCCACCCTGTAGAGTACACTTCTCATCCTTCATACAGCTAACTACTGTTTATTAGTTTTCAAATCTCAGATCAAGAATTACCTTCTCTGGACGTCATCTCTATGCAGTAGTTAAGAACACTGTAGTTAAGAACACAGACCCGAAATCAAACAGAATTGTTAAATATCTGCTCTGCCACTTCTTAGCTGTGTAACCTTAAACAAGTTACTTGATCTTTATGCCTGAGTTTCCTTACTAGTGAAATGATCACAATAATGTGCTTACCTTACAGAATTGTTCAGAAGATTTAAAGAATATGTGTGTGCAAAGCTCTTAGAGTAGTGCCTAGAACTTAAGCACTTAGGACATAGTAAAGTTAGCTATTATTAACTACCTAACTTAAAAATGCTTCCAATCTCTCTTTCCATTGCATTATGTATGTAATCATCACATTACACTATATGATTTTATATAAATATGTTATATATTTATAGATACATTATTAGTATATAGATACATATATAGATACATGTATATAATACATATGTAGATGTATATAAGGATATAGATACATATATAGTATACATATAACCCTCAACCTGTGGGATCTGACACTATCTCCAGGTACACATATACAGTACATACATATATGTATACTACATATGTATATATGTATCGTATCTATGTACTTATATACATGTATCTATATATGTATACATTTATCTATATACATATATACATTATATACATATATGTATCTATACACACATATATATGTTTCATCCATGGTTCCTGTCTCATAACTCCCATAGACCTTGTTATAATGTTATAATGTTGGTGCACTTTAGGCCTCACAAGTGGACCTCAGAATAACAGGATCTCTCTCTCTAATCTTCTATTTTTTTACCTGCTACTTTTTCTCCCCAAGGCAGGACTCTAATCTTCCCCTGCCTTTACCTACCTTGTGAGATTGTAGGTCATAAGACCCCCATTTCAGAAGGGGTTCTGCTCCATATTCTGGAGGAAGGAATGTTGCACAGAGAGGCCAAGAAGAGACCCAGCACAGTGACTCATGCCTGTAATCTCAGCACTTTGGGAGGCCAAGTTGGGAGAATCGTTTGAACCCAGGAGTTCAAGACCAGTCTGGGCAACATAGGGAGATCCTGTCTCTACAGGAAAAAAAAAAAAAATTTAATTACCCAAGTGTGGAGGCAAGCCTGTAACCCCAACTACTTGGGAGGTTGAGATGGGAGCACGCTTGGGCCGAGGAGGTCGAAATCACACCACTGCACTCCGGCCTCACAGTCAGAGTGAGACTCACCTCAAAGGAAAAAAAAAAGAGGCCAAAAAGAATCTGAACAGATGGGCCTTGCTGGGTTTCCCTACTCAGCCTTTGAGGACTAAAGCATACCCTTTTTGTCTAAACACATTTCTATGTGTTTGTCAATGGTGCCTATCCTTTTATGAAGTCTCCATAAAAGGCCCAAGGGGACAAGGTTTGAAGAAATTACAAGATAACTGAACCTGTGGAGGTTCCTAGAGGGTGTGTTCTGGGGAGGGCTTGGAATCTCTGTGCTCCTTCCCCCATACCTCGCCCTTTGCATCTCTTCATTTGTATCCTTTGTAATATCCTTTATTATAAACCAGTAAACCCAAGTAGGTGTTTCCCTGAGTTCTGTGACCCACTCTAGCAAATTAATCGAACCCAAAGAGGGAGTCATGGAAGCCCAACTTGAAACCAGTCAGTCCGAAGTTCTGGAGGCCTGATCTTGTGACTGGTATCTGGGAAAGGGAAGATGTCTTGTGAGACTGAGCCCTCAACCTGTGGGATCTGATGCTATCTCCAGTTACACAGTGTCAGAATTCATTTGGAAGACACTCAGCTGGTGCCTGCTGCAGAGTTGACTGCTTGCATGTTGATGACGAAAAATCTTCCACATTTGGTCACAGAAGTCTTCTGTGTTGATGGTAGTGTGGTGTGAGACCAGAGGAAAAGCAATTTGAGATTTTCCACATGCAGAAACTCTTAAGACAGAAACTATATGTCCCTGTACTTAGGCAGTGTCTAGTAAGCACTCAGTGAATGAATTTAAAGAAATGAATGAGTGATGCATGCCCTCACCAACTGGACATTCTTTCCTTTTGATTCATTCAGCTACATTTAGATTTAGGGAAATGAAGGGAACTTGTGAGATCATGCGGACAGATTAAAAGATAAATATTTTCTCAAATTTAATTAGCTGTGCATGTTGCTGCAACAAACAAAGTCAAAAAGAAATGAGCCTTATGACGCACAACACTTTTTTTTTTTTTTTTTTTTTGAGACAGGGTCTCGCTTAGTCGCCCAGGCTGGAGTGCAGTGGCGCGATCTCGGCTCACTGCAAGCTCCGCCTCCCGGGTTCACGCCATTCTCCTGCCTCAGCCTCCCGGGTAGCTGGGACTACAGGTGCCCGCCGCCTCGCCCGGCTAATTTTTTGCATTTTTAGTAGAGACGGGGTTTCACCATGTTAGCCAGGATGGTCTCGATCTCCTGACCTCGTGATCCGCCCGCCTCGGCCTCCCAAAGTGCTGGGATTACAGGCGTGAGCCACCGCGCCCGGCCTATGACGCACAACACTTTTGTTAATTCTTGCTTCCCCTTTAAGTTGTACCATTTGTAAGAAAATAGGGTAGCATTCCATGTGCCTAATTCCATTGTTATGTGTGGTGAATGTCAGAAACACTCCTGGCATTAAAAGGAGCCTAAATGTGTGGCCAGAATGGACTTTAATGTTCTACTGGACAATTTTTCTGACCTCACAGCAAAACTTAAATTACATTATTTTCTGAGAATCTAAGTTGTTTATTCAATAATCACAACTTAACTTATCTGGAAGATGAGAGAAAAAAGAATTAAAATTTATTGAGCATCTCCTAGGTATCAGGCAGATTTACAGGTATCATTTCTTCTAACTCTCACAAAACTGAATTAGACGTTTTATTAGTCAAGGTTCTCCAGAGAAACAGAATCAATAGGAGATAGGTAGGTAGGTAGGTAGATAGATAGATACAGATAATGAGGACTTAGTTCACATTAATGGAGCCAGTCCCAAGATCTGCAGTCAGCAAATTGGAAAACCAGGAGAGCCAATTGTATAGTTCCCATTCAGGTCTGAAGACCTGAGAACCAATGATGTGAGTTCTAGTCCAAGTCTGAAGTCCTAAGAATTGGAGGGCTGATGGTGTTAAGTCCCAGTCTAATGGCAGAATATCAATGTCCCAACTCAAACAGATAGGCAGAGAGAGAGAAGGAATTCTTCCTTCTCCTGCCTTTTTGTTCTGTTCAGGTCCCCAATGGATTGAATTATGCCCATTCACATTGGGTACAGCAATCTGTTTTATTCTGTCTACCAATTCAAATGCTAATTTCTTCAGAACACACCCTCAGAGACACACGCAGGAATAATGTCTAAGTAGATATCTGGGCATCCCATGGTCTAGTCACGTTGACATATAAAATTAACCATGGCAGATGTTATCCCCATTTTTAGATGGGGAATCTGAGGCTTAGAGGGCTAAGTAACTTGCCAAAGATCTTATAGATGGCAAATGTTGCTCCAGACTTCAAATGCATGTCTCTCTAATCTGAAAGCACCATTCTGCTTCCACTAAACCAATGGTTCTCAATCAGGGCGATTTTGCCCCCCATGGAACATTTGGCAATGTCTGGAGACATTTTTGGTTGTCCCTAGCTGGTGGGGGATGGGGGCTCGCTCCTGACATCTAATGGGCAGAGACCAGGAATGCTGCTACGCATCCTACAATGCACAGGACAGCCTCCCACAACAAAGAATCATCAAGCCAAAATGTTAGTAGTGCCAAGGTAAAGAAACCCTGCACTAAATCATACTATTTTGTATTTCTATAGTTTTCAAAAACAGTAGAATAGTAATAACATACTGATCTAAAACATAAGGCTAGGCACAGTGGCTCATCTCTGTAATCCCAGCACTTTGGGAAGCTGAGGTAGGAGGAATGCTTGAGGTCAGAGGTTTGAGACCAGCCT